AAATATCTGTAAAAATCAGCAAAACCAGTGTTTGGTGACTTTTCGTTCCTTTTGTCAGATTCTAATAAAACCAGTGTTTGGTGACTTTTCGTTCCTTTTGTCAGATTCTAATTCTCAATTGTCAAAAATGTGAGGAACGGATTTGGTATCCTAAAAACTGGATAAGAAGAACCATAGATGCACCATACAGTCTGCGAATGGCCGTGGCGGCCATTTTGGTTTTTCACATGGGTGGCAATCTTTTATGAAATAACTAAAAAGTAATGTGCATGCCAATTTTGGTGCTTGTATGACAATGGGAATGAACCACAGGGGCACAAATATATACCAAAGAGCCCGCAAAAGGCCACAATCTTGTAAAATTACCGCCATTTTGAATTTTCACGTGGTAAGCGTTCTTTTATGAAACAACAGCCCAAAAGTAATGTGCATATCAATGTTGGTACTTGTATGACAATGTGAATTATTTTACACTTAGCTGCCCCACTAATACACAAAAATAAAGGTTCATATAAAATGTGTACCAAATCTGGGTAGGATATATATATATATATATATATATATATATATGTTAAAATGTAGGGGGGGGAGGGGGGAAAGGTATAGGGGGGGGGGGGTTGGGTTTTTTTTCAATTTTTCAAAAAGTGGTAAAAATCTCTAGGGAGAGGTGACAACCTGGAAGTGTAGGCCTAGGGTGAGTGAGTTAAGGTGTTCGCCTCTTATTCAATAGGTCCCAGGTTCAGATTCAGACAGGGACGGAAAAAGTTTCTTCTTTCATCTCCTTTCCTGCTTTCTCCACTTTCAGCCCCTACCCCCTCACCCCCTTTGCCCCCTCCTTCGGGCTCATGACTCTTTCTGCAACCTTTCTACTGCTACTCCTTGGCTCCTTTTTACTGCTATCTTTCAGCAACACCCCTGATCTTCTAGAAGGAAAGATCTATACCTAGCCTTCTTGGACAAGGGCAAAAAAATCTTGGGAGGTTGCGAGCGCAAGTTGCGCATGTTAAATATCCCTTTGTGGTCCAAAATCGATAATAGTAAGCTTAGGCCGCCACCTAGGCAAAATTCAAAATTTCCTATCAACTGAAAATGTTTAATGTGTCCCGTTTGCTCATATCCTCTTACGCAATTGCGAGCGCCGTAAAACATTTACCACCCCCCCCCCCCCCCCCCCCACTTCTCCCCACATCCCACGCTTCCTTTATAATAATATGGATTTTCCGTACCAGGGACATGACTAAAGGAATAAAAAGCTAGCCCTGAATGACTCAGCCATTGTTTGCAAGTAGCAAGAGCTGGTATAAAAAGAATAGGCCTACATGTAAAAGAGAGGAAAACCTACAAGAAAAATGTAATTGAGTACAGAGGGGAGAAAAGGGGCTTGATGGAAAAAGCGAAGAATAGTAAAATAGTAAGATTCAAAGGTGAAATCCTCCATCCATCCACACATTACTGGAAATGCACCCGACCCCAATCACACCTTTCCTCCCACCTATATCATTGAAGCCAAATCATGGGAACAAATGCATTCTGTTAGTTTAACAAAGAGGCCACCCTGGTTCAAATCCTGAACTCGGGTCATTTCGTTAAGTTTCAAGGCTTTCAACCAATTTGGCCTGGCCCCATTGAAGATGAATCTTAAATGTCCACGTCCTCTTTCTTAAATAACCTTACAGCATTGAAGGGGGCAATTTGACTCATACACTTACGTATTCACTGTCACAGAGTTTAATGTGTGGAAATTGACAGACGAGACTCAAATATGGAAGAGGTATAATGAGCTATCTTTATAGATTGAAACACTGAATTTAAAAAATGACGATACTCCAGAACAATTTTTTTTAAACACATTCACACACACACACACAATCAACACACACACACACACACACACACACACACACACACACACACACACACACACACACACACACAAACATACACACACATACACACAATCAACACACAAAACAAAAACGCAGGAATACATGTGTAACAAACACAAACAGATAAACAGACAGACAGACAGACAGACAGACAGACAGACAGACAGACAGACAGATAGATAGATAGATAGATAGATAGATAGATAGATAGATAGATAGATAGATAGATAGATAGATAGATAGATAGATAGATAGATAGATAGAGACGGGGAGTAAATGAAGAGGGGAGGGAGAGAGAGAGAGAGAGAAAGGGGGGAGGGGTGGTGAGGAGAGGGAGAGAAAGACACAGAGAGGCGGGAGGGAGTCAGAGAGAGAGATAATTGAGATAGAAAGAGAGGGGGGAGGGTGTGTGTGTGTGTGTGTGTGTGTGTGTGTGTGTGTGTGTGTGTGTGTGTGCGCGTGTGTGTGTTTACTTACGCATCTCTGACATAAGTTGCCTCAGCTGGGCCTTGGCCTTGGGCACGGTGCAAGTTATCTCTACCGTCATGGCCGTCTGGTCATCTTCGGCCAGATAACCTGTGACGTAGACAAGAATGATTGTTGAGAAACAGTACAGGGGCATAGGAAGGCAGATACACAAAAGAGAACTGAGAAAAAGAATGTAAGCAGTTTGTTTGAGTAAAGAGGACCACATCAACCTAATAACGGTTATTAAGAGTGGGAACTGGGAAGTACTAAGATTTTGTATTGGGTACCCAACCCAGCGTGTCCCCGGGTGGTGGATAGGGGAAATGCCTCCAGATATGGAGGTTAGCTGCTAAGCAGTCACGAACCAAATGGGAGATGGTGGTGGAGAGTAGAGGGGAACCCTGGTGGCACATGTGCTTCAATAAATACCTCACACACTCGGAGAAGGGACCGTCTTGGCGACGGGAGGCGCCATAAATCCTATCAAAGCCCCCACTGCCTTGTGGATTGTCAGTGGATGACAAACGCTAGCAGAGAAACTGTACACAAACCGGCAGTAGGCAACGGGAAACCACTGCTGTAATATCCCAAGAACAGTCATGGAAAAGTACATTCATTTATCAGATAACAGCGTTAAAGGGGTTCATGATCCAGCTCTGAACTCCCCGCTCCGTAGGGACCGCCACGGGCAGCAGTTGGCGCCCGATCGTCATCCAGCTACTGGCTGCAAAAATAAGCGACTTAACATTGCCACATGGAATGTAAGAACAATGTACCAGAAAGGCAAATTAGATCATATAGAGCAGGAAATGGATAGGATGGAGCTAAATATGTTAGGCCTTTCAGAAATTAGATGGGAGGGGGCAGGCTTGATTAAAAGAAGATCCAAAACAATTATATATTCAGGTGGAAAACCCCATGAAAGAGGAGTCGGAATTTTATTTGACGAAGCAACTGCAAAGAGCATCAAAGGTTTTTGGGGAGTGTCAGATAGAGTCATCGTGGCTAAATTAGAGGAAAAACCTTTTGACATAGGTGTCATACAAATATATGCACCAACATCAGAGCACGACAACGAGGAAATTGAGACTTTTTATGAAGACCTTGATAAGGCAATGAAACAGTTAAAATCACAAGATGTAAAGATAGTCATGGGATACTTTAATGCCAAAGTAGGAAGTAAACGTATAGAAGATATAGTTGGGCAATGGGGACTGGGTAAAGAGACTGAACGCGTGGAACGACTGGTAGAATGGTGCAGAGAAAAAAAAAATTATGATATCAAACACCTGGTATGAAAATCACCCAAGAAGACGATACACTTGGAAGAGTCCTGGCGATAGAAGTAGAAATCAAATAGACTTCATATTTATTCAGAAACGTTTTTAGAAACACAATAAAATCATCTAAATCACTGCCAGGAGCAGACTGTGATAGTGACCATGTACCTGTCATGTGTAAAATGTGGATACGACTGAAGAAACTCCAAAAGTCAAAGTATCAACCTAAATTTGACATAGGTCTTTAAAAGACAAATCAAGAAATGAAAGAACGTTTCTCCATAGATGTAAGAAATAAATTTAAAGCTCTGGAAAACATTACTAAATCAGAAGAACTATGGAGGAAAAGGAAAGACTGAATAATGGAAGCTGTGGAAGAAAATATCCTTCCGAAAGCTAAAAAAGCATTACAAAATGGATGACCCAGGACATTTTAAAACAAATGGAAGAGAGAAGAAAGGCAAAATCAAATGTGGAAAAGTACAACATCTTAAACAAGGAAATAAAGAAAAAATGCAACGAAGCAAAGGAAACATGGATAAATGATCAGTGTCAACATATAGAGAAGAACCAAAACCAAGACAGCAAATACATGCATTCCAAAATCAAAGAAGTAAGTGGGATAAAAGGATGCTCAAATACAGTATGCATAAGATCAAAGGGAGGGGACATTTTAATGGACAACGGGGATGTCTTAAACAGATGGTCAGAATACATAGAAAAACTTTTCAAAGACAATAGAGGAGAAAAACCGGTAATAAAGAATGAAATAAATGGACCACCAATACTGAAAGCAGAAGTAAAAGCTGCCATTAGGAAAATGAAACAAGGAAAAGCCACAGGGCCATATAATATTCCAGTTGAAGTGATTGTCGCGCTTGAAGAACTAAGCACTGAAATAACAACAAAGCTCCTAAATGTTATTTATGACAGCGGTGAGATCCCAGAAGATATGATGAAGTCAGTTTTTATAGCTTTACCTAAAACACCAGGTGCCACTGAGTGTGATATGCATAGAACAGTTAGCCTTATAATAAATGAGTCATTTTACAAAAATATTGCTGCTAGTAATAATGGGAAGATTGAGAAAAAGTGAAAGACCAGAGATATCTAAAAACGCAATTCGGCTTTATTCCTGACAAGGGCACCAGAAATGCTATATTCACCTTAACAATGTTAATGGAAAGATGTATTGAAGCACAGAAAGATCTGTATTTATGCTTCATAGATTACTCAAAGGCGTTCGATAAAGTTAGACATGATGAGCTATTTAAAATATAGGAAAAGCTAGACATAAATAAAAAAGATCTAATAATTATCAGAAATTTGTACTGGGACCAAAACGCTGCTGTGCGAATTAATGGAGAATACAGTGAATATAAGCCGATTAAGCGAGGAGTGAGGCAAGGATGTGTTATGTCACCAGACCTCTTTAACATGTACAGTGAAACAATCCTTAGAAACATAGAAGGGCCTCAAAGTGAATGGAGAAAGTATTAATAACATCAGGTATGCAGATGACACGGTTTTAATAGCAGGCTCAGGAAAGGACCTTCAAATGCTTCTAGATACTGTTGTAAAAGAAAGTGAACGTAAAGGATTATTGTTGAATGTAAAGAAAACAGAATGCATGGTAATATCCAAAAAAGCAGCAAATCCTAGTTGTAATCTCATTAGCAAAGTTGAAAAGATCAAACAAGTCTAACAGTTTTAATATCTAGGATATATATGATAATATCTGATGCCAAATCTTCCACAGAAATAAAAAGGAGAACCATAATGGGTAAGGCTAGTTACAATAAAATGAGCCCAATCCTGAAAAATAGAAACATCTCAATGAACACCAAAATGAAAGTCCTGAAAAGCTATGTTTGGTCAACCCTTCCATACAGCTGTGAATGCTTGACAATCACTAAAGACAGTGAAAATAAAATAGAAGCAACAGAAATGTGGTTTCTTAGGAGACTGCTAAGAGTATCGTGAAGGAAAAGAAATTAAATGAGGTAGTGCTTGATGAAGCCCACGTGGGACGCTCAATGTTAAAAACAATCAGGAAACGACAATTGCAGTTTTTGGAACACCTGAATAGACGTAAGGGTCTTGAACATTTAGCTCTCACTGGCAAAACTGAGGGCAAGCGAGGCAGGGTAGGCCCAGAACAACATACTTAGGGAACCCAAACAAATGGGTAACAGGGAAAGATCAGAGAAACGGTTTTTTGTTGGGTTTTTTTAAGCATCCGAGCAAAGGAATGAATGGAAAACCATGATTGCCGATGTCTGTCGCAGATCTGGCACTGGATGATAAGAGTGGGAAAAGAGTGAAACATTAAGACAGAAGGAAAAATACTACCCTCAGTAGTCAAGCCTTATTCAAAACTTTCCAGGGTGTGAGGCAGAGGCTGTCTTTGAAGTCGTCATAAGAGTTTTGCTAAGCTTAAGTTAAGGAATTTACATTAGCAAACATATAATATAAAAATATAAAAACACTTTGTTCCGTGAAATCTCAAAGTAAAACTAAAACATAGACTTAGGCTGAAAATTTGAATCTCTGAAAATTGACACACAATCTACTTAGGCTACACATCATTCCATTGCAATCCCTCGATAGTGGCCCCTCTTTGTAACAATCACCTCCCAGCGCCAACCCCTATTATGAATTCACTCTCAAGGAAAAAGAGAACTGGTTACGATTTCATTATTCAAACAGAAATGCGTTAATGAATGTGTACAACCCCAAAATGAGCGAGGATACGATCATAGGTTTGGTGTGTATGTGTGTGTGTGTCTGTGTGTGTGTGTGTGTGTGTGTGTGTGTGAGAGAGAGAGAGAGAGTGTGTGCGTGTGTGAGTGTACGTGTGTGAGTGTGCGTGTGTGAGTGTGCCCGCCCGCGCGCATACGTGTGTATGTGTGTGTGTGTGTGTGTGTGTGTGTGTGTGTGTGTGTGTGTGTGTGTGTGCGCGCGCGCGCGCGCGCGCGAGTGTGTTTTGCGGCACTCGCGACTGCACAAGGTCATATGAGCGCGCGGGACACATTAATCATTTTCTGTTTGGTAGGAATTAATTTTGAATTTTGCCCGGGTGGCGGCCTAAGCCTACTCTTATTCACTTTGGACCACTAAGGGACCTTTTACGTGCCAACGTGCACACGGGACCTCCGAGATTTTTCGTCCTTTTCCGAGAAGGCTAAATGTTACACCTTACCTACCATAAGATCAGGGGTGTGGCTGAAAGACAGCAGTAAGAAGGAGCCAAGGAGTAGCAGTAGAAAGGCTGCAGAGAGAGTCAGGAGCCCAGAGGAATGGGCAAAGGGGGAGGGGTGGGGGCAGAAATTGGAGACGAAAGCAGACGACAAAACAGGGTTAATAAAGAGCAGGAAAGGGAATGAAAGGAAACATCTTTGAGAAAAAAATGTTACGTCGCTGTCAGGTTACGAACCCGGGACCTATTGAATGAGAGCCCCCTACGGTCAACATACGATAGGCCTATTGAATTCTTTTCGACAACCGTTTAGTCAGTATGGCTGGGCAAGTATACGAGTAGTAACCCTGGTACCCGGGTAAAGAGCCCAAAACCGGCTTCTCGGGTATTGAGGTCAGGTACCCGTGTCTTCTACTCCCCTTCGTTAAATCATATGCAAATGCACTTAAATTACGTCCCTTCGCTCGAATCTTAAGAAGTACTGAGTACTTATTGATACTAAGCTCTCTGAGTCGATACAACACTCGATCGATATTGGCCACTGGCAGTTCTTTTACAGGGTGAGCTTCGCAAGCGCTCCACATAACTCGAGGACACGTATTTTGTGGCAGCATCAACTATCCTCGACC